CTAATATATTTTCCTGAAAGTGCGGTATTGGTCCTCGTTAAACTGTGCTACCGTAAAGTGCTCGACTTCGCGCGCAGGTCGTCGGGTTACCGAAGCGGGGGTGCCATCCCCTCCGCAGAGGATCAAAATTGTGATGGCATGTCTTCGGATCATCCTCCGGGATGTTTCCCAGACCGTCGCCAATAGCCCATTGTGCAGCCCTAGTGCGACGTAAATTAACAACAACGACAAAGCATTTCAAACCTGATAATCATTTAACCTTGCATTTAAACCTGAGTACTTGCCTGCCATATTTGGTGAGTTATTCTATGATTGTCCTCGACAATCATTTATTTATGCCTATGTCATTAGGAAACGATATACAATAGTTTCAGATAACTATTCAGATTTACACCTTTAAGTTAGAATAAAATCCAAAAAACGTTTCACGGGAATTCCGTCGTTCACAAATGCCAGCTTATCTACGTAGGAAATAACTGGTGTTGAATCACTATTTTTTTTACCAAATTTTATTGACTTCAGTAAGACTTTTGATTTTGGTACAAAATGTTGAAAATATTTAAAAATTACAAAATCTCAGAAAAATTTATAATCTCATTAAGAGCCTTAATGATGGAAGTAAAACATGTATTGAGGATCATAGAATACTTACAGACTCTTTCGATGTTCAAACAAGAGTAACACAGGGATTGGCGATTGAGATAGGCTACAGGTGGAGTAGAGCAGAACTCTCCACCAATGGCAACACTTCGCATGCTTTCACCATTCGTGTGGAGAGTCATGGAAGAAGGAAGTACGCTAGTTTTTGTCTTGATTTTCAAATAGATTAAAATCTTTTAAGTTAGGAAACTATAAGGAATTGAAAACTGCATCAAACATAGTTCTAAAAAAAGTGTCATGGAAATTTAAAACAATACTTTTAAGAATTAAGTACGAAAAATACTAAAATTTAAAATAAAAAAATACTAAAATTGGAAAAATATTGTAGTACATCCCTATACGACTGAAAAGAGAATGGCCAGAGGCATGGAACCAGTCTTCTCCTCAGATGGGGTACTCGAGCATTGCGATCGCCTATACATTTTGTCTGGATTTTTATTCAGAATTCATGAAGAATGTGACCAAAAATCAAAAAAAGAGGGATCAGATGGAATTTTAACACCACATTAGAAGATCTTAATTATGCAGGTGACATAACCCTCATTTCATCTAGATGCATCGATCTTGAAGAGAAAAAAAACTAAAAAATTTAATAAATTTGCAAATCAAATCGGTCAACAAATTAATAAGAATAAAACAAAAACCATAAGAACAAATGCAAAATCTAACAATAAAAAAGAGAGAAATAGATTCTTTCACATACCTTGGGAAAACAGTAAATAAACAAGGAGACAGCAACCTTGATATAAACCAAAGAATCATAAAAGCTAGAACCTGTTTCAGAAGCCTTCAAAAATTTTGGAGAGCTTCAAATATAAATATCAACAAAAAAATAAGTGTTTTTAAGGCTGTTTTTTGCTCTATACTTTTGCATGGTGCTGAATGTTGAAGTCTCCGCATTTATCATTGTTATCCGATTATTTTAATTATTGTTATCAATAAGTTTAAGATGAGCAATTGGTTCCAGTTCTTTAAAAAAACTGCTCTAGTAAATTACTTAAAAAAACTGCTTAAACTTATATAATTGATTAAAATAAATATGATAAATTATTATAATAAACAGTTCTGGATTATCCTCAGTTTTTGATTTTCTAAGGTCTCTTTTCAATTGAATAGCCTGCAAAATTGGGGTATAACAATAACTTTTAATGGATGAAACAAACTGCCACCTATAGCCAATTTTGAAAATTAAAAACAATATTTATTTAAAAAATAAAACTAAAATGTTTTTATTATATTTTCTTCAAAATTGTTTATACAAAATATTTTTTTCACAGTTATTAACTTCTCAAAGAAATTTATTCTCTGCAAATTTTTTTAAATCACCAAACATTACATACAACAAACATAGGAAAATATTTTAAATCACCATCATACAAAGTCGAATAATAAAATATTTAATTTATTCCTAATAAATATTTATTACAAAAGCTTATATATTAGCATTATTCATACTAGTACAGTTAAAAATAAAAAAATTAATTGCAAAAATAACACATATGATTATATAATTGCAAACAAATATTTCTAATCATTAAAAAAAAAAATATTTGTTGTGTTTGTCTTATTAATAGTTGATAGGAAACTAAACTTTGAACAGAAGTAAATCCAACACACTTTAAACTAAACACTAATTTTAGTTACTTCACTTGAATTCTTAAAATTATTAAGAAGTTTTGTGAGGATTAAAAATTAAAATATTCTTAGAGTTCCAGTATATTTCAGAAGAGTGAAAAACAACAGACCATAAATACGGAATAAAAAATTCTTCCGGTTGACCCTCTTCGACGTACTTAAACTTCAACTCCGGCAATTTTTTAAGCTTTTCTTTAGACCATGTAGAAGCAGCTGCTTTTAAGATTTCAGACACTTCAGAAACAGATGAATTATGATCCATAGATTCTAAATGTGAAGTAAAGAACAGCAACACAATGTCAATATTTTGCATAATGTCTTGAAAATTAGGATTTGATCGAAACATGCCAAAAATTTCTTTCTTATAAAGGATTGTGTATAACAAATTGATATTGTTCTTTAGCTGGGAAGTGAAAAATGAATTTAAAATCTCCAACAGCATTCTCAATACCTCTTCGAGAACAGACAAATCTGAAGAAGGCAGTTCATCATCAATTTGCAACACGGTTCTCGACTGATCCGTCACGTGTATGTATCTTTTACCCATATATTCTAACAAACTAACAAATTTTTGGCAAACATATGGATGCAGGTTTTGAACATAGGCAGACATATTAGCCAATGCAGCCAGGCAGTTTGTATGGAGATACTTATCGTGCATTCGAGTCATGTTGTATTGTATAGTTCTAACCAGAATAAGAACCAATAAACTACCAAGGGAAATTTCAGATAATGTTCGCTCCATATACCATGTTATGTTTTTCAATTTTATTGAATGAATTTGTTTGTCAAAGTACTCCTCTTCACTTAATATTAATATAATTATTAATGCCATATAAATAAGATGAGAATTTTTTTCAGGTGCATCATACAGTAGCTTCAATAACGGTACAACAAGCAACGAAACATCTGATGAAAATATAATATATTGACGAAAATGTGGGTTTTGGTGAATTAACATATATGTTAACAAAGCGGTTTGATCATCTTTTAGTGTGTTACACAATGTAGTAAAGAGAGCATCATAGTCTAATTTAAAAGCCTCCATGCTTTCCTTAGGCATTTCACAAGTGCTATTTGAATTGCTAAATGATAAAAGAGCACCACGATAAGGGTTTTTCCCCTCCTTCTCATTAGTGCAATGATTAACTAATAATAAAAGAAACAATAAGCTTTGATTTGCGAGTACCGTCATTGGTTCACTTTTAGGAGGTTCTTGATGCACAGTACTTAATGACAATATATTCCAAATTCCAGTTGCAAGTCCAGCAATGATACTTCCCCCTTCTGCGGTAGTGACACAATGCGGGCATTTCTGCTGATTGCAGTAATTTTGAAAAAGAGTTTTGACCAGCAAGAGAGAGTGAATAGTACATTTCCCATGCATGAAAATCGAGTAGACACCAGAGAGATTAGCTGGCCTCGAAGAAAACATCTGCACCGAGAGCAAGACGATCAAAGTATGCACCGCTTCCACGGTTATAGCGTAAGTCCGGTTATCGAGGGATATGTCGACGACTATTTCGATCAGGGCATTTATTACGTCTTCGAGAAGCTTTTCGGGTTCGCAAGCATTCTGGGGGTCGCTTTTGTTCAGTTGAGCATCTTCAAGCTGTTTTATCATTCCTTCCTCACCTAAGGTTTCAATGAAATATTTCAAGATGCACCTCAAAATAAAAAGGGAGTTGTGAGCTTGCCAGATGAATACTTTATTTTCACACTGCACAGCAGCTTTCAGTTCAGAGGAGTGAATGAGGAACACTTTAATAAGAGAAGCCACATTTCCCGTAAGTGGATTGGTATTTAGCAAAGCATCTAACATCGGGCGAATACTGTCCTCCAGTAAACGACAGTCGGCACAAGAGTGAGGAGGGGCAAAGGTAAAAGAAAGCAGCTGATTCCAAAAGGGGTCATTCGGAGAAATAGCTTCTTTTCCAGAGAACATTTGTAAATACTTGTTATCTCGCAGCTCGTGTAGGCTGCTGCTTGAGGTACCCATTTTGCAACTGTAAACAAAATTAAAATCATCAGAAATTATATCGAGTCAATGTCAAATAATAAAATAACAGTAATTGTTATCTTACAAATACAAGGATTGAAGCTTCAATAAAGGCAACTTTTAATTGCAACTCACACAAAAAAAGATACATGGAACCATAGGGTTGGTTGGCTGGTTTAAACCAGATGACCTTATTTAAAAAAAAAAAAAAAAAAAAAAATAAAAANAAAAAAAAAAAAAAAAAAAAGCTTGTTTTTTTTAAATTTTTTTTCTTAAATATAATATAAGTAATCTTTTTAAAAATTTAACTTTTTATTATTTTTTCAAATAGTTTTAAAAAAATCAAAAGAATTATTAGAAAGTTTTAGAATCAAAAGAAAAATAACATATTTCTGATAAAAATGTTCCACTTTTATGTTTAAATACTACTGAGAATCTGTATTTCTTTAAATCAAGCTTATGTACCTAATTTTTAAAAGTTTAGATAGCGTAGTTTTCTTGTAAAAATATAAAAATAAATTGATATGATATGAGCAAAATGTTTTAAAAATGCGTATTATAAAATAAAGTACCTAACACCAAATCTAATTACTTTTAAAACTAGTTAAATAATGTAATTATGGAATAAATTAGAATAAAAAGTTAGATAATTTTTTATCTTTTGTAAAGACACATTATGTTTGTTACAATCGAAAGCATAAATGGAAATTTTTTATACTTTAGTTTTACATTTTACTTTATGTATAATTTTTTGCTATCAGAGTAAAAAAAAAAAAAAAAAATTATGGTTCAAATGATTTTGTTAATTTTTGAAATATTTTCAGTGTATTGTAAATTAATTTTATTTAATGCTGCATGATGTTATTAAGTAAATTGCAGACCTCATAGTGGACTTAAGAAAAAGAAAGGACATATTTTGATAGAGTATATACATGTATCAGACTACTTTTAAAAAGGGCAAACAACAAATTAAAGTATAATTTGCTCCATTTAAGTACAATAAAAACTAATTTAATTGAAAAAAAAATTAATAAATAAATAAAACATACAATTTTTAATTTCAGAATTACTTTATTCTGAAAAAAAAGTTTTAACAGCTTTTCCAGTATTCTATAAATGGAGCACTGAGCAACTCCTAACAATTTGAGATTAATATTTAGGACATTTAAATGGTACTGTTGCATTAGGAAAATAATCAGTACCAATTAGTTAATATTCCTTCAAACCGATATTTATTTAAAATTTGTAAGAGTGTTCATGACATCTTTAATCAAATCTTTTAAAGTAGGGTTCTAATAATTTTGAAACCAAAACTCAGCGAAGATGCATCTTAGCATTTATTAAAATAAAAAGAAATTAGCTGGAAATCCTAAATCTTTCAATTATACATAACAATTATTTTAAGAGCTGCATTAGTATTCGTAGAAAATGGGATCATCTGAGTTTACACAAATGATAAATATCAGGCCAAAAAGCTGATATAGACAAAATATATTTTAACAGGAAAATCAGAAATTTCAGGACATTTACAAACTTTGATACCCTTAAACTCAAAGCTCTATTATGTCAAAATGAATGAAAAAAAGTAGCTCAGTTACTTTATTTATTATTGAACTCTTAGTCCTAAAACTTATTTTTACTATTTTATATGCAACTCATGTCTTGTTTGTACCTTTTAATCCTTCAATTATTTCCAAGTATTTTTAATTATTAATAATATAAAAGGTATGATATATTACCTTAAATACATTATAATTTATATTTATTCAAACTTTAAGGGATTAAAAAAAACAAGAAATTCATATTTCATAAAACTTAATTACTAATATTATAAATGTATAATATTAATTATATAATATAATATTAATATATTACAATATAATATATTATAATAGAATAATATTAATTATATAATACTGAATTACAGTATTTTTATATTACTGGCGAGCAAGGGGTAGGGTGGGCAATCACTCTTCAACATATATTACTAAAATAAATTTTAATGTTTATTGTTTATTTTGCACATTATTTGTAGTTGTAAAGAAATATAAAAACATAGATGAAATATTCAGTTCTGCTTCTTTTTTTTATCATTATATTAACAAATTTAAAGAACAAAAGTGTATATTTTTGAATTGTTTATTGAAAATATTAATTAATAGTTAAATGGAATATTTAAATACTATGAAACACTTTGGAATGGTTCAGTTAATTTCAGTCAAGAGATTAAAATATTATTCAACATGTTTTTTTAAGAACAAAAAAACTGGTTTTAACCAAAATAATCTATAATAAACAAAAAGAGCTTTATTGGTTTTATTTAAAAAAATATTTTTTTCCTTCTAATTCTGTGAAACCAAATTTTACTGACATTAATATAATATAACTTATTGTCTGTATAAGTATCTATATAATAAGTTATAACTTATTGTCTATAAGTATATAACTTATTGTCTGGGAAGTGGAAGCTGTACACTGCCTGTTTTGTTGATAGTTTGGGTGGGGCAGAGTAAACAATTTTTAGAACGAATGCTATTAACATTATTATATTAATGCTATTAGTTTTACTCCAAAGAATCAAGTCTGAGTATGGTTAATGGTATCTCCAGTTTCATGAATCCATTTTTTCTACACTAAAACTAGAACCCACCAGGGCATGTCTGCCACATTTTGCACCTAGTTAAATATAGCTACACATATTAAAGAGGAGTAATTTGATTTTTTCATCTAAGGGCACAGGATATAGTTGAGCTAGCCTTAGATACCAATACTACTATATTAGGTACTTAATATATGATATTAATAGTACCCATACCTTAATTGATAGAGCATAAATTTACATCAATAACTTGCCATTTTTTACAGTCCCTTTAATAGAAAGAAAGTATAACAATCAAGCATTAACACTATGGTGCTTATAGTTGCAAAGATAAAAGCTTTAGAGTAAAATTCTATTTTCAAGAATAAGTCATATATCTCGGAGTGAGGAAAAGCATGCGTCATGGATTATGCATTTTAACACTATAGTTTTTACTGTATATAAAATCTTCCATTTTCCAATTATTTCTGTCGCGATTTTTGATTAGAAAACCTCACTTTTAAGTAATTTTCACTACTTTCTACAATAACATAAAAATTGCCAAATTAAGAGAGGCATCCTCTTATAAACTGAAACTCATATTTGCTTTGAGAACATTAAGGTTTAATATATTCATGGGTTGAAGAGATTATTTTGATTGACTCATTCAAAATATAACAACAAATTTTAGGTCATGATAAATAAGCACAGATCATAGTAAAAATTTAAAGCGATTTTTCTTACATATAATAGCGGAATATATAGAAGCTCCAAGATTAAGAGCTTAGCAATGATTTATAAAACGCACAAGAGGATTAAAAGAAAATAACCGAGCATAAATATGTCTATCTAATTACTTATAAATTAATAAGAAGAAAGAAATTAATTGCCTTATATTTACTAAAAGATCCTAGAAGTTTTATACTTTAATATAATAAAGTATGTTCAACAACGAAGTTATATATATTTTTTTCTAAGTTATTATTTCTTATTTTTGTTTAGTGTCTGGTGTCTGCTTTTTTTGCTTACGATATGATTGAACTTGATTGTAGCCACTTTTAATGAAACTTATATAATTTAAAATATTTGAGCATTGAAAAGTTAAATACAACTATATTAAATTGCTGAAAATGCATACAAAATTTTTTTAATCATAATGAAACTAATAAATTTAATTCAAAGGCGAAAATTAGAAAAAAAAGAATTATGTCATCTAATTGAGATCTACAAACTTAGCTTACTGTTACTTTTACTAAGCCTTCAAAAGAGCAGAATTAGGTAGTCGAAAACGAACTTGAATAAGTAATTTTGTTTTTGTTTAACCTTTCCTGCCAAAAAATATTTTTAAATAATATTATAATGTGTCTTGACACAATTTAATCGAAATACATTATGGAAAATATTCAAAGTTATGAGTTATAGTGATCAAAGAAGATTAGTTTCGCATATTAGGTTCTTGGGTAGATTGCAAAGTAATACACCCATTTAAATATGCTCTTATTATAATTATTTTATCTAGAAACATTTGAATCAAAATATCATGGGTTTTTCTCGAGCACCAAAATCGAATCCCATTTTATATAATGTTTCATGTATAGCTGTTTTTGCATTTATAATAATAACCGTAATTTTACTTAAACCATGGAACATTCATAAACAGGAAGAAAAATTCATGCTTCGTTCTATTGAGAATTCACCAGAAATAAGGATTCTGTCGTCGGCATTGAATGCAGGTCAACGAAACACTAAATGCAATTATTTCAATTGTTTTGACGTTTATAAATGTGGTCATTCACAAGATAAATTGTCTGTTTACATCTACCCAATTTACAAATACGAAGATGGAAAAGGAGTACCCGTTTCGGTATCACATTCTCGTGAGTTTGTGGAAATATTACAAACCATCTACGATAGTCCTTATTACGTTTCTGATCCCAGCAAGGCTTGTATATTTATTCCATCTCTAGATTTACTCAATCAAAATTTAGTCAGATTGAAGGAAACTTCACAAATACTTGCTAATTTACCCTACTGGAATTCAGGTATCAATCACTTGTTGTTTAACATGCTTCCTGGAAGTGTGCCTGATTATAATGCAGTTTTAGAAATAGACTCCGACCAAGCAATGATAGCTGGTGCTGGTTTTTCAAGTTGGACTTATCGAAGAACATTCGACATAAGTATTCCAACTTTCAGTCTTATAAACCATCCTTTTGATATTAATAGTTGTAAGGAAGCATCGAGACGTTGGCTCGCTTCATCTGCCCAAATAAATATTCATTTTGAATATCGTCATGAACTTGAAGATTTAGCGGAAGAACACCCTGAATTGCTTGTTCTTGGACGTTGTTCTGAAGATGCTAGTTCCCAGAATGCCACATCTAGGTGTAGAGGAGGAGATACTTATGAATATCCAGCTATATTAGAAGATTCTACCTTTTGTATTATAATACGTGGTGCTAGACTCGGCCAAACGGCTTTATCGGAAGCTTTAAAAGCTGGTTGTATTCCGGTTGTTGTTGCTGACGGATACATCATGCCGTTTGCAGAAGTTATAGATTGGAAAAGAGCTAGCATTACACTATTTGAAGAAAATCTTGGTGATCTAGTTCACATTTTAAAATCCGTCTCAGACGAAAAGATAACGGAAATGCGTCGACAAGCGTGCTTTCTCTGGCAAAAATATTTTAGTTCCATGAAGCAAATAACTACTGCAACTTTAGATATTCTCCAGTCAAGAATATTTCCACATAGTTCTAAGACATATGAGGACTGGAATGATCCTCCTTCTAAACTTGGAGCCTCTGCACCACTCTTCTTGCCTGCTATTGCTCCTAAATCTCAAGGATTTACTGCTGTTATCCTTACCTATGATAGATTGGAAAGCTTGTTCCAGGTCATTCAAAAGGTTGTCCAAGCGCCTAGTTTGGCCAAAGTTCTTGTTGTTTGGAACAACCAAGTCAAGTCTCCACCTCCAGCTTCTGCATGGCCAAAGATCAGTAAACCATTGAAAGTGGTTCAAACGAAAGAAAACAGACTTAGCAATAGATTCTATCCGTATGATGAAATAGAAACCGAAGCCGTGTTGGCTATTGACGACGACATCGTTATGTTGACGGCCGATGAGCTTGAATTCGGTTACGAGGTGTGGCGTGAGTTTCCAGATCGTATTGTTGGATTTCCATCTAGAGTCCACCTGTGGGACAATACAACCAAGAAATGGAAGTACGAGTCTGAATGGACTAACGAGATATCGATGGTTTTGACTGGTGCTGCATATTATCATAAGTACTATAGCTATCTCTATACCAATTCCATGCCTGGTGATATCAAGGAATGGGTGGATGATCATATGAACTGTGAAGATATTGCTATGAATTTTCTTGTTGCTAATGTTACCGGAAAAGCACCTATCAAGGTTACACCACGGAAGAAGTTTAAATGTCCTGAATGCACCAATGTGGAAATGTTATCTGCTGATGTTATCCACATGGCTGAACGTACTGAGTGTATAAATAGGTTTGCTCAGAGCTATGGTCTGATGACTTTGAAAACTGTAGAATTTAGAGCAGATCCGGTTCTCTACAAAGACAATTTCCCCGAAAAACTCAAAAGATTCAATAATGTTGGCAGTCTCTAGATTGTGATAATTTTGTTTATTCAAGCAGTTTTATTATTAAATTATTTTCCAAAATAATTATATTAAATATTATTTTATAATTCTTATTATAAATGTTATTAAAATTATAGTAAATATTTTACTAAAAATATAAATTGAAAGCATTTATATAGTAATATAAACAAATGTTAATGACAATGAGTATTTGACTATGGTAAAAATTGTCAAAAAATTTGCCATTGCATTGTCAGGATTTGAATTTGGAGAAAACTTTCAAAAATTGGTGAATACTTTGAATATTTGTCTAATAATTTGAAATCTTTAAAGCGGGCCTTGCTAGAGTCTAATATTTTTTATTTTTCTGTTACATATGAAAACTAAATTATATTGACATTTAAAAACTGTTAAAAAATTATGCAGATTTTGGATCTTCTTGCTAGTAAAAATGAGGAAATTTTTTATGTGTGCGATCTAAAATGAATTGTGTTTTATGTAAATGTTTCCTCTCAGCAGATATGTTTCTGAAATGTACATTTTGAAATTGTGATGATTTTCAAAACTAGATGCTCTAAGATAGGTATAAAAGTACTTACTAGGCACATAATGCTGTGCCCATTAAAATTAGACGTAATTTTTTTAATTTTTTATGAAGCACCCAATTATAGACATATACGCTTGAAAAGAAAAATATTATGTAAGGATGACTTTTTTCCCCATTATTTAATATTGCAACAAACTAGCAGCTGTATGCACAATTTTTTTTTTGTCTATGTGTTAATTTTTTGTATTATGTAACTCAATGATGTCCAACCTTTGCTTTTTAAAATCAAAACTTTCCTTGTATTTGGGGAAAAAAAATGTAATTCGTTAAAGATAAGAAAGAATTGTGTATGTATTTTTAGTACAGTAAAATAAGAAAGAATTGTGATGTATTTTTAGTCCAGTATTCTCTCGATATCTCAAAAAACTCGTTATGACAACAAAAAAAATATTTCCCCCCTTAACATTATATATCCACCTTTTTATAATTTGAATTCCTATGTAGAAGAGTTTCTTCTCAAAACCTTATTATGAATTTTGTTCGAAATAGGAATGAAATTTTTTTTGGAAAAATCACGATGTAAAAATGTTAACCAATTCTTTTCTATTTAATGCAAAATTAATTTTCTCTTACTTTTAAAAATAAAATTACCATTGTCGTATTTAGACTTTCAGTAAACTATGTCTGTGTACATTCATAGTAGTTATTGTTATGTTTCATGACTCTACTTTTTAGAGTAATATTTTAGAATAAATTTTTCAATTTTTTCGAAAATATTTAGTTCTGAGCTTGTTATCTTGAAATTTTCTTAGCAATCTCTTCAACTTTTAGATTTCGAGAGTATACTGTATTGGAAAAGCAAATAATCCCTTTAAATTAGCTACAAATCTTTTGTGACTATTTAACTGAGAAACATTGGGCATCTATTAAGTGTGTATATATGTATTTCCTTAAAAATGTAAGTATGTAAATAATGCTTCAAATTTAAAATGAGTGAGTGGATGCTTCTTTAACCAAACAAGAGTTAAAGTAATACTATCGAAAATGTATGCATAACGTTAAAGATTTAGATAGAAAATGGGCCATTAAAATTAATGTGCTCCAGAGCACTGTTAACACTACCCATTTAAAATATGATTGTGATAGTTTGCTGGATCATTTCTAAGCTAGTTAGAATGTTAAAAAAATGTAAGATAATTTCTTTAAATTAAATTAGATAGGAGTATTTTACTATTAGGCCTATAAAGATAGATTTCATCGAAGACTGTATCTACTTAAAAGTGTCCATAAAAACATATTTAAGTTCATAGATGTTTAACTTCACATAACTTACATTTCTAATCCAACTTAATAAAACATGCACCTTTTTTTTTAAAATCAAATTTTCATCTTCATTACGAGTTATTTTTGAATCTCACTAATGTAAATATTTGTTATAATTTTTATGTTACATCAATAAATGTTTTCTTTATATGTTTTGATGTTTAATTTTGTTTTAACAAATATTTCACACAGAAATCTATACAAGATTTTTGTTTCAAGTTCTTGCGAGTTAACAATGAGGAAAAAAATCTGGCGCCTATACACGTTAAACTATAAATATGTTAACTTTTTTTTGTGACTACAAATGTTTTGCAGAAAATATGCAAGTATTTCAAACAGGTTTTTTTTAAAAAAAAAAAAAAAGTTTTAACAGATAAGATAAATTAATGGGCTTAAGGGGTGATTTTTGAAATCCAACTTTACTGAGCACATTAACTTGGAGAAGTTAGTTTAGAAATCTACTTCTGAAAAGTATTTGTCACAGCTAATTATAGTTTTTTCTTCAAACAGAAGAATGATCCCGGACCTGAAACTCAGTTCAGGGTGATACTAAAAAGTTCTAATGGGCCAGTTTGCCTTTCTCAGTTTCTGGACATATTTTAAAGCATTAAAAAATATTTAAATTTAGTTTTCTACATGAACTTTACAAAAACATTTCTAAGTTTTTTTTTACACAGAGATATTCCCTTTATATTGAATCTTTTTGATTATTTAAGAATATTGAAGTCTTAATTGAGTTTTCCTTCAAAAAATTTTCTAGATCATGGCATAATCAATTGAACCAAAAAAATATAATGCACATAAACCAGGGACTAATATAGGGGATAAGGACATTTAACTTTCCCGGGGGGGGGGTTTAGAAAAGCAACACGATTTTGACAGACCGGTTTTACGCACAAAAAGTGGCGTTCACGTCGTCGTAGTGATTATTTTCTGACATCCCTGCCGTACCTTTGCATTGCGCGTAATCAGTGTTGATCATTAAAAAGCAATTTAATTTAAATTCTAAAACTTTTTCATTTCCGTAAACCAGTATATTATTTTGTATATTGCTTAAAGATGTCTATTCATTACTCATAATTTATTTGTTTGTTTATTGAAGCTTTAAAAGCAGAGATCATTCAGATTACGAGCAATTATATACTATAGTTTCGGTTTTGTTTTTTTTTGGTTTTCAGAACTTAGATTAATTAAAACCGAAGGAAGGATATTTACTTATCCAACCATAGTTATTAGTTTGAAGCGTCTGGTTCTATTATAACTGAAGTATAG